AAAGAAAAATTACTAAATTTTACACTACAATATTAATCTGTACTATTAAAACACAAGGCTTTTTTTTGAGGTTTCCTTGAAGTTCTAAAATATTTACCATCCTTTGCCTCTGAGATATTTTTAATCTATGTTTTTAACTAAATATTTTTAGTTAAACAATTCCTCATTTTTAGTATCTTTTTCCTTTTAATTTAATTAATACAAAAGTCAGTGTTTATTTAAAAACATGGAAATTAAAAATATATGGAAATTATTTGTACCAACCAATCGAATATTCCTACTTCCCTTAAACAGATATATATTATCACTTAATTACTTCATCACATTTCGGCTACACAAAGAGAGCTTGAATTTTTGGCTAAACAAATTGACATGCTTAATGAGATTTCTACTATGCCCTCCTCTGATATTCCCCAGAAACAAAAATCGAGAGCTTGATCATTCGTAAACAGGTTGGTGAAGGTTTTTATGGGTTCATTTTAAATAGCAGCGATAGCTAATAAATTAACCAATATAATTACAGCATTTCATTTTAAATAGCAATGACATGCTTGATGGGATTTCTACTGTGCCCTCCCCTGATTTTCCCTAAACAACAAATGTGAGTTTTATTTCTATGATGAGATTCTTTTGTGTTCATCTGCTAAGCAGTATGGATGGTTGATTTTGCTTTTTGTTTGGGTTCCAGAAAGAAACTATACCGATGATGAAACATGCGCAAGGAACAACCACATTTACTTTTAATTATTTTCAAAGATGGTGTCACGTTGTTGCTGATTCTCGTGCAATGAAAGGAGAAAAAACAATCAAAAGCTCTTAGTCGAGTTGAAGGAGAAGATTGATCTCACTAAACAAGCCAGCACCGAGTTGAGTTTTTCTTTTGATATTTAGAGTATAATTTGGTTTTAACGTCTGTTTTATTTTATGTTGGTTTCACTTTTATTTTTAATTCTCTTGCATCAATGTTCCCACTTCCCATTAACAGAATGATAGCAAAACATTCGTTCCGCACACAATGAGATTTTTTTGGTTGAAAAAGTATAAACTCCCCTTTAAAAAATATTATGTAATTACGTTATTAAAAATATTAGTTTAATAATATCTGTAAATTCCGTTTTTTTTAAAAAAAAAAAAAACAGCTTCTTTAGAATATACAGGTGTTAGATAATAATATATGAAAATATATCCCATTTTTAATTAAAACAAAAGATTATAGTAGAATTTGGAACTTTAATTATTGGATCTATCTAATTACTTTAGAATTTTTTGTATACAATAACTCAATAATAGAAGTGCATATATCATTTTTATTATTTGTTTCCATAAAATATATTTTAGATTTTAGATCTCTAATTATTAGACATTACCTAATTACTTTCAAATTTCGAACATAGATATGGAGATTAACTCATTAAAAAATCTCTATGTGTTAAAGATATATATCAATTAAATAGATGTACATAATTCCATGATTTTCTACAAAAAAAAAAAAAACGATTCCACATCTACATTTTAGGCAACAATTTCAAAAATATTAAGTTAATGTTATACATATTTCCTAAATACGTGCATGAGGCCTGTATATTAAATATAACAGAAAACAATAGAATGTCAAAAGATAATTCAATTTACAATATTTCAGAAAACATTGGTAACCATCAAAATATTTAAAAATCCTACCTTATATCTTTACAGTTACACTTTTAAAAAAACTTATTCATATAAATAGACTTTTTTATTGCTGAACATTTTCTAATATAAATAGACTTTTCGTTTACGGGTGTTTAATATGCCCAATAACAAAAACGTGCATTAAATAGCAAATCTGAACTTTTAGAAATATCGATGACATATACAAGTGAAAACTCAAATACTAAAAACAAATTGTCTATTAGTTTTTAAACTAAAACCAATAATTGACTCCACAATTTTATTTGATTTTTTTCTTTAAAAAACCATTACACAATATAGTTGAAAATTTAATAGCTCTAAAATAAACGAAATTACATAACTATAGGTTCTATTATTTTAAAAATTATAAACCAAAAAAATTCTGCACTTTAAAAGCGTGAATCAAATTTACATAACTATACGAACTATAATTTAAGGTATGATTTTAAATAAATGTTTTTTTTTTGTTTTTCCGTACATTGCAGATAACCATCTCCTATTTCTGTGTAATATATTTCCACTTCTTTAGTTAATTTTCCATGGTAGTTATCCTTTAAATATATAATTTTAGTAGGGCTATATGAATTAATATATATCAACTTTAAAAAATTTGTTAAAGTCATTTTTGTAAATTTGTAGATGTATACAACAGTGAGTAAACATAATCGGTGACGAATTAAAAATAGTTGTGTATCTATGCATTAATGCGGAAAAAATATAATAATTGCACAGAGTTTGATTCAAAAAAAGGGAAATCAAACACTTATTCAGTTGATTAATGTTTTCATTAAAACAAATATTTTTAAAAATATTATTTTTGTTTTTAAAATTATTTCAATATATACCTATTTTAAATAAATCTGGTTAACTAAGTATACATCATAAAAATATCTAAATTTTTAAATGATGCAAAGTCATTATTCTAGACATGAATACTTAATATAACCGTGAGATTCTATAATTTAATATATCAAAATAATTTGTTTCTATTTGTATAAGTTTTGTTATCACACATTTTAAAATTTATTTTACCGCAAAAATTACTTATCATTATTTTAATGTAATTTATATTTTGCATCTTTGACATTAACAATTTTAGAACTTATCATATTTATATTTACTGCTCATTTTTCCCAAACACTTAAAACTAATTAGATTACAATTATAGTAATACATAAAAATTTATTTTGGTATTGAAATAAAAAATAATGTATGTAAAAATATAAAATAATGAAGAATACAACGATAGGTTTTATTATTATTCAGTCATGTTCTTTATTTATGTATCTCCTATTTTTTCTTATTAAAAACAAACACGTTAATTTTATTATACTAAAAGTTATATGAATTATATGTTCTGAATTTTGAAATTAATATAATGTTCTGATTTATGTAATCATATGATTTTTGTACAGGTTAGAATTATTCAAAATTCTAAAATTTTAGTCCACTTAAAAATAACAATTATAAACAAAAATTAATAAGTAGAATTCGAAAAACCGCATTAAATTTCTAATTTATTTTGTATTCGACTTTGATCAGTTTGTGTCTGTACAATATGTTCTTTATAAAATATTTTATTGATAATGATTTTGTGAGAAGTGGTTAGCCAAACAGCTTCAAGGTTTATGGTTTACGCAAAAAAAATGATTGTAAACTTTTGATTATGAAATAATCCCAAACTTTATGACCAATCACTTCTGCTCACTAAAGGTAAACTAATTGAATTTCTAACATGAAATAAAGATTAATATTGCTTCCAAACGATTGGTACACCAACATAAGAGACATAAGAGTTAAACAGAGAAATGAAAACAAAACAAACAATTAATATGAAATGAACGAAGAAAATTAGCAAAATCGTAAATGGTTCTGGGTAATTTAGGATCTGTAAATCAACCAACAACATCATAAACTAAGAACTGAATAATTAAGCACCAGTTCTAATCAACTTCTGCAGCATAAAGAAAGAGAGATCAAAACATGATCAAGTTATTATTTTTAGTAAACAGCACCAACAGGTCTTTCCTCAGTGATCATACAAAATAAGCACAAACATAAGTATTACATTACTTGGGAAACCAAAGATATTCTTTCTTTTTTATCAAATCCGAAGATATTCAAAAATACCGTTTAACTTGGACCCCAAGATTTCGGCGAAAGATTACATAGCAGACATAGATTTATAAAATTCGCAAATAAAAAAAACCTATGTTTACGGAAATTTAGGGAAAGAAATCACAACCCATACAGTCTTATCATGACACATGATTTTTATTTTAACAGAAATTCATTATAGTATCTCTTAATTACAAAAAAAAAATCTTCATCTGAAAGAGAAAGAAGTATAACTCATTGTACGACCATTTACAATCTTTGTCTATTACAAAAAAATCAACTCATAAGTAAATTAGTAATCGTCTATTTCTAACATATTATATAATAACTAAATAAGAGTAACGAAGTTTTCAAAAAAAGAAACTCGCGCTTTCAGAGCATTCTGGTATTTTGGTATTCCGTCTGTAAATCAATACTTTAGATTAACAAATAGAACTCATAATTTTATCGGGTCCCTAAAATTTGTTATCCAAAAACGAATAAAAAAAAATCAATCCTATACCACACATTAAATTTTACGTAATCGTATTTAATCTATATATGTCAGATCAAACCAAAATTATTAATGAAAATCTATCTGAATCCGGATACTCACCTATACATACTTGTGAATAATCGAATAAGGACATAAATTTAAAGTAAAAACGGTTGTCCCACCCTCTTTAAGGGCGGGTCAAAATCTAGTATTTCTTAAATTTAAATTCGCTGTTTAATCCCAATATCCCATGAACTTCCAACTAGTCATGGATCAGGACTAAACTGCAGATATCTATTTAATCTGATCTTTTTAGAATTATTATTTACTACCAAGGCTATTTTGCAGCTCATAAATAAATAAATAAACAAACAAGAGTTATTCCCAACTATATTTTCTTTCTTAGAGAGAATATCCTCTTATTTTTATTGTTTTTAGCTCACATTTTATTCTCTCTCTTTTTAATAACTGAACATTTGATTCCATTGCCAGCAAATTTTATAGCACTGTAATTATTTGAAAAAATAAAAAGATATTGGTGCGAGTATGAAAGATAGACTAGTAATATTCATTGATTAAACAAAGCAACAAACGAAATTAGAGAAAAGCTTGGTTAGTTAAATAAAAACAGAAGGTAGTTTTGTCCTTTTTTGAAACCATACTTATGAGGACGTGGACCCTTCGCTTCATCTTCCTATCTCTTCATATATCTACATATAGTGAAAAAAATGAAGATAAATTCAATGTTGTTTAAATTTCTATTCATTAAGACAAAATCTCTGCAGAGACATTGAATCCGCTTGTCATCAGAGGATCGTATCGTGTAAACTCAAGAAACCTCGACGAAGTCATCAGAAGTTGGATCTTGAGTTTGACTCGCTTTTTTGTTTCTCTCTCTTTCTTGTTGTCACTTGCAGGCGGTGCAAAGAATAAAGACTGTTCGTTGTGTTTGATCGGAATCTCTACATCTGAGTTTCACATTTCTCCCAAGTAATTTTACAGACTTTCCTGGGATTTTTTTATAGATAAAATCTGTCAAGCTTGGGATCAGAGGAAGACGATCTGTTGAAAAAGCTCCAATTCTGGTAATTTTTCTTTGTCTTTGTATTTAAATTCAATTTCAAGAAAACAAAAAATGTCTTTTTTCTTTTTATCTCCCCTCTCTGTTTCAACCATGAAACCAGATCGAAAGTTCAGAACTAGTTACTGTTTTGATCTGTCTCAAAGGATTCTACAATCTTTATAAATAGTTATGTCATGAGAGTTTGACAAAGTTTCTTGACTTGTTGCAGAATTAAAGAAAAAAAAATGCCTGAAGGGAAATTAAGATCAGGAGTTTACAAATCATTCATAATGTGTGATGATCCGAGAGGAGTTGTAGAACGTGGAGCAATCAAGAAACAGAGTAAGACCCGTAATAGCATATGTAGTGGTACTAACCAAAGATTTGACCATCCTTCCAAACCCAAAGAGAGATCCGAAATGGCGCCGAGGAAGAGCACAGAGGATGTTCCTCCTCCTCCTTCGTCATTCCAGCTCTTGAGAGTATCTAAAGGGATTCAGAAGCTAAACGTTGCGATTGATTCATATTCCAAAGGGTCAAGCTATGAGACTGTGTTGAGGCCTGAGGATATAGCCAAAGGATTGTTAAGAGGAGCACTTGATTTGGAAGAGTCTTTAGCTATGCTAAGTAGCATTCAAGAAAACGATATCAAGCAGAAAACAGGGATTAATAAAAACGGAAGACGCGATTTGCGGTTTCAGAGATCCATGTCTGATAGATTCGGAGAGCGTATTGAGAAAAGGATGATGGTTCAAGAGAGAGATTGTCATGAAGAGCTAAGAAACGTGATTAGAGAAAGCTTTCATAGACAGAATCTTCTTACACAAACAACAAGCACAGAGACGAAGAAGACTCGGGTTGTTAGAAGTGGTTTTGCTTCCTCTTCTGGAGCTGCGTCCTCATCAACTAGCTCAAGCCAATCTTCTATGGTTTCTGGCTCTACAAAATCATCTGCATCGTCTGATATTCCACGGAGAGCTCCAAGTTTGATTGCTAGGCTTATGGGTTTGGATGCATCTCCCCCAGAACCGAACAATACCCCGGTGAAACATATTGATAAGCCTGTTATTGCAAACTTGCCATCAGAAAGACAAGAACAGCTGAAGAAGAAAAAGAAGAAGAACAAAGAGAGTCCTGAAACTGTGAGATGCAACTCTTCAAGACAAGCTGTTTTACAATCTTTGCCAGGAAGTGAGAATCCCTCAAGAATAGTACTCATCAAACCTGTGAATGTTGTACAACCGAAAAAGGACGAAAAACCGGGAAACAAAAGACCGGTTTTGCCCAAGAAACGGAGAATGCAAGGTGAGGTTCATCCAAGAATGATTAATCAGAAAAAAGATCATCAGGCTCAGGGAGGGAGTAAAACCAGCAGCACCAACACAATGAAATTACCATCAAGTCCGACTAAGAAAGACAAAATGGTTCGGAAAGTAGAAGAGAATGAAGGTAAGGTGATGAAGCTATTGTCACCGAGCAACGTCAAAGCTGTAACAAGAGAATCAAAACCAAAGGAAAGCATCAAAAAGATTTATGTGAAGAAGGAAGATATGAGTGAAGCTAAAGACAGACAAAAGGCTCTTAAGCCACCTGCCAATCCTGCGACGACTCACAAGAAATCAAATGGTTCTTCAGACATGTCAAGAAACAAGAATCAACGTTCCAGGTTGAGCTCAAGCTCAAGCTCTAGCTCTAGTAGTGATGAGCAGAAAAGTAATAGTCGTTTAAAGAAGTCTGGTGAAGCTAGTAAACGAAGTGTAAGCATTCTTTGTCACTTTTTCATTTTCTAAACTTACATATTTCCATTAACTCTGTTTTTCATATAGCCGAAGAAGAAACTCCATCAACGAGACAATGACCTCGCTTCAGAGAATAATTCAAGTTCTTCACAGGACACGCGCGTTTCTGCCGAGGAAACCACTCATTCCCAGCTTCACATTCAAGGTTAGTACTACACAAAGTTCTCTCAACTCTGAGTATGTTTTCAAAGTTTTGTTTCTTATAAAACATCTCCTCATATATATTATACATACTTTGTTCTTGTAAAGGCCATTGCGATAACGGAGAAATTACTTCTTGTCCTGCCACAATTCAGCATTCTCTTGAGCAAGAAACCTCTCTTAGATCATTCTTATCCAACTCCTCAGATTTCATCAGCTACGCAGAGAATCTCTTCGACTTCAACAACAACACCAACAGAAGCCAAGAAACAACCTGTCATGGTAGAGACAGCATTGTGATCTCAGACCATAGACTTGCACTAGACTTTGCCAAAGAAGTAGCCAGACGCAGAAGCCCTCGTCTCATTACCAAACCAACTTTTCCCTTACGAAGCGCTGTGCATATTGATGAGTTGTTAATGGAAGTCTGTGATGGGTTTGACTCCCTGAGAAGTTACAGAGACACGTTTTTAAATCAAAGCAGCTTCGTTAAAGAGAGCATACACATGCTGTTGGAGAAGGATCTATTTTGTAACAAAAAAGAGATGACAAGTGGAGTCTGGGATTTGGGTTGGAGAAGTGAGTTTCAGATCGATGAGACTCATCAAGCTGTAGTTGACTTAGAGAAACTTATCTTGTCTGGTTTGATCCAGGAAATTTTCTCTTAGCCCCTTAAACCAACAAAACAAGAGTTTTCTTTTTTTCTTTTTCTTTTTTTTTTTGAATCAGTTCTTTGTAACCAATTATATATAATAATAACTGTAGCAATGAGCGTATAAACTTCATAGTTAAATTTTGGAGAAACATCAATCCTGGCTGAGTTTATTCTAACAGAAGAAAATGCTCCTATTACAATTCAAAATAGCAAACTCAAGAATCACCAGATCACATATGATACCAAATTCTTCTGACACGAAACTCAACAATAGAATCTCTTTGAGACCTCGGTCTCACTCGCTAATTTCTGCCTACATTCCTATTAGTGTACATAATACCTACTGTATAAGAGTAGGGTGTTAGTATACTTATAGAATACACTTGTATATAAACCCCACATTCATTGATTAATCAAGATACAACTTAAGTTTGGATTACTTTTAAAATGGTATCAGAGCAAAGTAACAAACTTTCTTCCGCCATTAACAGCAAGCTTGACCTCGCGAACTACTTCACTTGGATTCAGCTCCCATGAGTACTCCGATTCGTCAACTCCTTGCTGATTCCATTGTTTCTTGGTGTTTAATCGTTCGTGACATCTTGTTTCTCATATCCTTCATCGTCTTCCTTCTGATCCTTGATCTTTTCTTCTAAACGTGAACCATGAGCTTGAATCCGCCTCAGTAGCATTCTCAATTGTCTCCGATCGATCAATACGACAATCCGTTCTTTCTTCACAACTTTGATCATGCCGAATTGGTTTTCATCTCTGATCGTCTTTCTTCCGGAGCTGATTTTCACGCTCGGTGACGATCTGTTCGTTGTTGGATAAGCTTGAATCTCAAGTTTCCTTTTTTTGTGTTTATCTATTAGAGTTTGGGTTTATCTTTACTATTAAGAATAGGATTTGGTTGTCCTATAAATAGGATACGTGATGGTTAGGTTTGTGTTAAGCTTTGCAATTTGTGAGTTGTGATTTTGTGAGTCGAACTTTGGTGATTAATAATATTGGGACTTCTCGAGAACTTTGAGTGATTCTATATTTGGTATCAGAGCAGATCAAGGTTAAAGAAACTCTTGGAGCTTGACGATGGATGAAACAAAGAATGAAATCGTGTTACACAAAGGTACAAGACCGGCCACTATCAAATACCCTATGTTAACCGATACAAACTACACCGTCTGGGCTATCAGAATGAAGGTAGTTCTCAAGGTCAGTGAAGTATGGGAGACGATAGATCCAGGAAGCGAGGATGTGAAGAAAAACAATATGGCCACAGCGCTGTTGTTTCAATCCGTACCGGAAGCCTTGATAATGCAAGTCGGTGAGCTAAACTCCGCCAAAGAAATCTGGGATGCGATTAAAACAATACACGTTGGAGCTGATAGGGTAAAAGAAGCTAGGCTTCAAACCCTAATGATCGAATTTGACAAACTTAAGATGAAGGATGGAGATACCGTCAATGCCTTCAGTAACAAGTTATCCGAACTTGCGTCTAAATCTGCTTCTCTTGGAGCAGTGATTGAAGAATCGAAGATTGTGAAGAAATTCTTAAAGAGTTTGCCAAGGAGAAAGTTTGTTCACATGGTTGCATCTCTAGAACAGATGCTCGATCTGAATACAATAAAATTTGATGATGTTGTGGGAAGAATAAAAGCTTTTGAAGAAAGAATTGCAGAGGAGGAAAGTGAACAACTATTGATGATGATCAATGATGAACCGTGGGATTTTAAAGAAGCCAAAGAGATGGAAGTATGGTTGGATGCTTGTAGAGATGAGATTTCGTCTATAGAAAAGAACAACACATGGGAGCTTGTTGAGTTACCTCCAGGAGTAAAGCCAATTGGTTTGAAATGGGTATTCAAGCTCAAGCGTAACGCTGATGGAACAATCAACAAACATAAAGCTCGTTTAGTAGCTAAAGGGTATGTGCAGAAACATGGTGTAGACTACGATGAGGTGTTTGCTCCGGTGGCTCGAATTGAAACAATACGACTAATCATTGCATTGGCTGCAACACATGGTTGGGAGATACACCATCTTGATGTTAAAACGGCGTTTCTTCACGGTGAACTTAAGGAGGATGTGTTTGTTACTCAGCCTGAAGGTTTTATTGTGGCTAAGCAAAGTCACAAGGTTTATAAGTTGAGAAAGGCTCTCTATGGTCTGCGACAAGCACCTAGAGCTTGGAATATAAAGTTGAATCTGATCCTTAAGGGCCTAAGCTTCAGGCGTTGTTCGAAAGAACCCTCTTTATATCGAAAGGAAAGCAAAGAAGAGCTTCTTATAGTGGTTGTGTATGTGGATGACCTATTAGTTACTGGATCATCTGTCAAGAGTATACTAGAGTTTAAAGCAGAGATGGCTATGAAGTTCGAGATGAGCGATCTTGGGTTGTTAACATATTACTTGGGAATTGAAGTGTTGCAGAGTAACAACGGGATCATACTTAAACAGGACAGGTATGCAAGGAGAATACTCGAAGAAGCTAAGATGAGCTCGTGTAACTCAACATACGTGCCACTTGAGCTAAATGCAAGTTTTTCAAAGGCACCACATGAGGACAGGATTGACGAGAGAGAGTATCGACGCACTATAGGCTGTCTTAGATACCTGCTGCACACACGTCCGGATCTATCCTTTAGTGTAGGCGTTCTCAGCAGGTATATGCAAGCTCCTAAGCTGTCTCACGGTGTAGCTTTGAAGCAGGTCATGAGATATCTTCGTGGTACATGCACACTTGGATTACACTATCCGAGAAACAGAGGTTATAAGCTTGTGGGTTACAGTGATAGTTCTCATAATGTGGACAATGACGATGGTAAAAGCACAACAGGACATATATTTTACATTGGTGAAAGTCCTATCACGTGGTGTTCGACAAAGCAGGAAATAGTAGCTCTATCATCGTGTGAGGCGGAGTTTATGGCAGCCACGGAGGCAGCTAAGCAAGCAATATGGTTGCAAGAGTTGCTGAGTGAAGCCATTGGCGAGGAAAGCAGAAGAGTGGTGATCAAGGTTGACAATAAGTCTGCAATTGCATTGTCTAAAAATCCAGTGTTTCATGGCCGAAGTAAGCATATTCACAGAAGATTTCATTTCATAAGGGAGTGTGTTGAAAACGAGCAAGTAGAGGTGATCCATGTCTCAGGCAGTGAACAAAAGGCTGATATACTTACCAAATCACTTGGTAAATCGAGATTTGAAGAGATGAGAGACTTGATTGGTGTTAGAGATGTGTGTGGAGACAAGTTCAAGCTTATGGGGGAGAATGTTGGATAAGCTTGAATCTCAAGTTTCCTTATTTTTGTGTTTATCTATTAGAGTTTGGGTTTATCTTTACTATTAAGAATAGGATTTGGTTGTCCTATAAATAGGATACGTGATGGTTAGGTTTGTGTTAAGCTTTGCAATTTGTGAGTTGTGATTTTGTGAGTCGAACTTTGGTGATTAATAATATTGGGACTTCTCGAGAACTTTGAGTGATTCTATATTCGTATGGCTCTCAACATTCGCAATAAGCTGGGCTTCATAGATGGTCCATCCCTAAACCTTCTGAGAATCATAGGGATTCAGATGCTTGGTCTCGCTGCAATGATATGATTTCTGTTTAGCTAATGAATTCGGTTTCCAAGAAGATAAAGGCAGATTTTACTCTTTATGTCAACTGCAGAATCTATTTGGAAGAATCTGATGTCTAGGTTTAAACAAGATGATGCTCCGAGGATCTTTGAATTAAACAGAGGTTAATTAATATTCAACAAGGGTCTCTTGATGTGAGCACGTATTATTTGGAGTTGGTGACTTTACGGGAAGAGTATCACAATTATGTAGAGCTTCTTGTGTGCACTTGTGGTTAATGTGAATGCAATGCAGCTCTTTCTTGGGAGAAATTGCAGCAGAGAAGCCGTGTAACAAAGTTCTTGATAGGGTTGAGCGAGTCATATGAAGCTACATGTCGTCATATCTTAATGCTGAAACTTAGCCCTTCTATTGAAGAGGTCTTTAATATGGTAGCACATGATGAATGCCATAAGATGATTCGTCCCTCTCTCAAGATGCTTCATCTAGTTCTGATATTCCTCCTGGTCAGCAAGCATACTCTGAATCTTCAGATTCTGCCCATTATGCTGCAGTGGTTGCTTATCATCCTAAACAACGACCAGTTTGCACACATTTTGGAATGGCTGGCCATATCATTTAGAAATGCTTACAAGCTCCATGGGTATCCACCTGGCCATAAGCTCAATCCCACCAACATGAATTCTCAACAAAGGTCTTCTGGTCAATCTGGTAAGAATCTCGTGGTCAGTCATTTGCTCCACAGAACCAGAAGTAAAACCCACACCAGTTTCGTCATGCTCAATCTTCTCCAAAAGGAAATACGGTTGTTAATATCAAACCAATCATGTGAAACTCTTGGATGTAACTTATTTCACTTCAGAACAAGTCAATCACCTATTACAGAAGCTCTAGACTCATGCGAAACTCTTGGATTCTGCTGTCAATGTCTCTTTTATAACAGAAATGGGAATGATGCCTGTTGAATCTTCATGTGGTATAATCCCTTTTCATTCTTTATGTTCAAATTCATTAGTGTTTTTGTAAAACCCACATTTTCCAAAATAATAAAATAAATAAAAATATCTGAAATCTCCATTTATTAAATCGCATAAATCATCTTCAAACTCCATAAATCCAAATAACATAATAAATCTCAAAATATCGATAAAAACATAAGTATGAAAATAGATAAATAAAACTCCCAAAAGCACTAGTCCGAAATGATCACTCCTGATCGTCAGTATCACCTGAAATGGGGGAAGAAAAAGGGGTGAATAACAGGGGAGTCACTCAGTGAGGTATGGGATGCTAAACACGCAAATCACTGACTAAGAAAATAGAATTCCCACTATGGAAGTTTAGCTCTAACATGAACAAACATAATGCCTAACGCATCACACAAAACAACCAATGCGCTCATAGTGTATAGCTAGCCCACACACCCCGCATTCTCCTCATACGGATATACGATATCATAATTTGCGTCGCTAGTCCAGACATCTCTGAACCCCCGCACTCCACCACTATGCGTCGATATGCAAACGTCTCTGCACTCCGCACCAAACAAATATGCGTCGCTAGCAC